AAAATGGTAAATCGCGATATAAAACTAAGAAGGGCTCTATTAGTATTAAAAAAACCAAATTTTGTAAAACTGTATAAATTGTCCGGATATATTAGGACCATATATTGTGCAAGCAGTAAAACTCAATACCCAATCGTTTCCAAGAAACTGGAAATTGACTTTTCAACCCACCCATGTATATTTTCTCTATAATTTCTTTTTCTTAAATTAAACGGTAGAAAATGTATTTTACCATCTGAAATGAACTGGTATATAAAAATGCATGTGAAACTTCTCCTTTCGTTTTATTTGAAACGGTTTAGTATTAGGTTTTACTGTTTGTACCGTGTATGGTTCTAATGGACTCTTACAAATGTGTAGAGTTTAAAAATAATTGGTGTTTTCAAAACTCAGTAGCCTTTGTAAATAATATAAGAGAAATAAATAATAAAAAAAATTTCTATAAGGAAATGTGCATAAGTATTTATAAAAATATTTACATAAATTTTCCAAAAATGAACGAGTAAACACGGAACCAAATAAAACTTGTGCGCTACATATACTTACAACACGTACATGCGAGGCACTCGTTCCTATACAAGGTTTTGTATCAGTTGTTACTTCGGGAGATGTTATGTCTTCCGAACGCAATTTGACCGAAACTTCGTATGGTGCTAAGAACTGGGTTGTCTCACTTGCAAACGCTCTGTGAACATCGAAATGGCCGCTGTAATATAAATAAGAAAGCTTTGACAGATGGGAAGTTGTGATGCAACTATTGCGAACTTAAAAGATTCTATGATAAAATAATTTAAAGAAAAAAGAGTCAAAATCTTTGTTTTAATCGTGAACGTGCGCTAAAAGCATTGCTATAAATGAATATGAAGTAAACAAAATTAGTTAATAATATCAATAACATGGGCTTACTTATTGAAAGCACTAGTATCACTGACATTTCTTCGATGTCTCGATGAATTAGAAGTTGGACTATCAGGCGGTGATGTACTAGAACTTATACTTTGGCTCAAGCTTTCTGTTTTGTTAACAGGTTTGGGCAAAACCGGTGGAGTTGTTGATAAATTAGTTCTATTAGGCCCGGTTTGAATATTTAATTTAGATGGTAATGCCATAGGCACGACTTTAGAAGATGAACTATTGGTAGAATTAGATAGTTTTTGCAAAACTTTAGTTGATCCAGGTTTAGGTGCAACAGGTGGTGGTATTTTTGTAGGAGGTGGCATTGTACGAGTATCATCTTTGAAAGGATCCGGGTAACCTGTAAATATATTCGATAGTAACCTTAATACTTATATCGTCTAAGATAATTTTATTATAAATAACTAAAATAACTATAACTGATATTACGTGATGGAGGAAATAATGCTTCCAAGTTTTCTTCGTTAATATTAGTGGCAGATCTTTGTTCGAGTTGCCTCGAATCAAAGTAATATGAATTTTTATCTTGAGCTGATACCGGACTTTGCCGAGTCATAGGAGAATGATTGATCATAGGGCTTTGCGATTGACTGTATTGCGTCTGCTTGCCGCTTTGTGACTGTCCAAAAGAAACATTTTGATTTGGAGTACAAACGTGCGGTGAAACTTGACCGTAAGACGACTGAGTCGACAACTGCAGTGATTGTTGAGGATTTACTGGAAGCGTCGGAATATTTTGTACGTTTTGGCTTAAATAAGTTGCGGTTGTATTCATTGGTGTAATTTGTTGTAGAGTCATTCCAGCAGAGTTTGGTTGCTGCATCTGACCACCTTGCCCTGATATTTGTCCTACTATTTGACCACTTAAGTTTATAGGACCTGTGCTCACAGCTTGTCCTTTTGGTCTTTGCCTAGGAGTAACCGAAGTACCCTCAACGGTTGCAACAGGTGTAGGTTTGGGTGTTCTAACCGATGATGATCTTTTAATATTATCATTTTCCATTAAAGGACATGGCAAAGAATCTATTGTAGGTGTAGGAGCTTTCTATAAAAGAAAAATGAACAAATAATAAATTAATAAATATATAATAATTATTCAAAATATTTGTAAATAGTAAAAAATATAACTTACATGTAAATTTTGAACAGGGCATTCTTTTCCTTGAATTTGGAAAGCTATCACTGAAACTTGATAAATATCAGGTCTAACATCTGGATCAGGTTCCAACATATATCGAATTAAACAATGGAGAGCTTTACTATATCTATAAAAACAAGGTCCATAATAATATTTCATAAATTATAAAGATTTTATAATGACATTAAATACGTTTTATTACACACCTCGAATTATCAGGTATTGTAAAATTTCCAGACTGTATGGCAAGTGTACTTTCACCAAATGGCAAAGTAAAGAAACATAATTTATACAATAAACAACCTAGGGCCTAAAATAGAATTCATAAGAAACAAATGTTATTTTAATACAAAATAAAATAAGAAAATAACATTAAAAGCAATACCTTACCCATATATCTGCTTTTGTAGTTATAGGTTTCCCACAATACATGTCAACCATCTCTGGTGCTCTATAACTCAAAGTTGTATATTTTTTAATTTCTTCTTCGATTACTGCAGCTCCTTGAATACTAGGATTGAGAACTTTAGCCGTTGCTGAACCAAAATCGCAAAGTACATAATTTCCAGAATCAGCGAACAGTATGTTTTCAACCTAGAAAAATATACTCATGAAATATGTTTAATTATAGATAAAATAAGAAAGATCTAATAATTTACCTTTAAATCTCTGTGAATAATGGGTGTTTGACAATGATGTAGACGAGACACAGCCTCGCAAACATCACAAAATATTTGAAGAATTTCTGATTCATTAAAACCAGTCTGTAATCTAATAAATTCATAATTCATTTCATAAAAGAACATATAATCAATTAATCGTAATTAATTTCTCTAAAGTATTTATGGTAGGACGTTTACCTATTGTTCATCATTTGAAGAACTTGAGATTTACAATAAGGCATCAAAAGTAAAAGCTCATGAACTCCTCCACCTGTATGCGTGATATTACTATCTACATATCCTATAATATTCTTGTGTCCACTCAGATTGCTCTATAAAAAATCATAAAATATGCAAACATGTAACAATAAAATTTACACAAATGCTTCATTCTTTTCTTGGTTATAAACAAGTGAACATAAACAAAAAATTAGAATATTTTACAATAGTTTTTAAAACGCTCACTTTAATCGTTCAAGTCCCAATAGTCTTTAGAAAGATCGTATTGATAAATGGCAAGTAATGTGACCATGTATCAATTGCGTATTGCATTTCAATAACTTGGGCATTTTTTGATAAGAAATTTGAAGAGCATGATTGAACAGCTTCGGACTCAAACAGTTAACGAGACGTCTCTAAAGTATAAAACTCTTAAGAGTGTTGTTACAAAATAATAAAACAGATTATAATCTTGCTTTCCTGAAGCAGCAATTGATTTTTTTACTCACAGCAATCTGTATTTCCCTCTTGCATACATTGAGATCGTGTTCGTTATTCACGTACATACGTTTAAGTGCATATCGCCCGGTCGAAGCTTTAACCAAAAATACTATGGCAAATCCGCCTGTAAAAGTTATTAAATATTTATTACAATTAATTCAATATATTCATGCACCAAAGAACACAGAATTTTATTTCTAATATAGTTCTTTCTTTTTTATTATTATTTCATACATTATATACAAAAACAGTAGATCATAACATTCATGAACATAAAAATGTTAAGTTGTCCAATAAGTCCATATAATTTTATTATTAGACAACTTAAATATTATATTAAACAAATTACGTGTGTATTATACTTGTGCATGCGTGCGCATATTAAGTAAGTATACCACTATAAAAAAAAATATATTACAACGACGACATTAAATCATAATAAAAAAAATCTAACAATCATAAATAATAATTAATATTAATCTAATCATTAATTAATCAATTAACAATTAATTATATATCTATAATCATCCGAATTTTTAGCTACAACTTATTGGAATAAACCTTATGCAATATATAAACATAGTAACGTTGAAATATCGATCGCATAGATTAATATTGCTAAATAAACAATTCGTTAATTAAAAATCAATAAAATGCCATCTAAGCTAATCCTTAAACAATATTATATAATCAATTATCCGAATTAAATGAAATTGCTTATCAATTGTGAGAAAATATTTCGTACACAATCTTACCAACTAATTCGGTCTTGAAATAATACGAGTAAAAAATTAATTAAGACATTAGAAAAAAATAATAGACAAAAATGTTATTGTAATTAATAGGGGAAGGAAATGGCATAATAAATAATCGATAACCGAATATCGTTTAAAGATCGAAAATAATCTAGTGTAATGAAAAGACAAGTGTAGATTGTAAAGCTATGATTTAATGAAGGGGGCGAGAGGGGTACGAGAGAATAGGGGTAGGGGTAGTGGTAGGGTGAGGGGGCGGATAGAGGCGTATTTGGAAGACAGAGAATCCAAGGCTGGTTGAATGATAAATGTTATTTAGATTAAAAGTACCTTCCGCCAGGACCTCTTCGACGGTTACGGTGTATCGTCCGACCACGAAGACTTTTCCTATATAACTGTTTGGTTCCTTCGACGTGTTTTCGATCTTTGAAAAGAGTTTCTTCATATTGGCACACGTCGTAGGCCCTCCCAACACCGATCTGACTTGACATAAGGCCTCGCGCTACTTTTTCACTTTTACCGCCGTTACAATTTGTCGATTATTCTATAATTTTGTTTCTTTAACCCAGTCAACTTTGATTTTAGGTTATCGTAACTTTAAAAACGGTGTAAACGCATCGACAAAGTCTTAATCTAGCAAATCTAAACTTAACCAAGCGAAATCCTCTTGATCATGATAACAGGGTAACGTATTTTCAGCTAGCCGACATATTCAGACTATACGCAACTACGTCTGCGCAGTCGCAACTCGTTGATACCATCTACTGGAGGAAACATATGTGCATAACTTCCGGTCAAACGTCAAAACGCGCACTATGCGATTGGCGCGCGCTTGCTGCATACGACGTCTATCGTTTGATTTTTATTCATCATCCCTCTTTATTGCAGAATCTTCGTTTGTTCTTATTGTTCATGTTCTTCGATGTTTTATTGTTTTTTTTATTTGAAACATTTTTTTCTTGTGCACTGTGACAGCGTGAATGTTATTCTGTGCATAATTTGCAACAATGAGTGACTCCGAAAACAGCAACATTTCGGGTGAAATACAAGATTTAGAAAATATATTAGCAAATATATCGACAAATCCTATTTATTTGAATAAATCGTCAATCGATGAAACCGATGAATTATCTCAATTCGATGTAAATCTCACCAAGCAGGAAAAACCTGGAGAAATCAAGATTGATAAACTCCAAGAAGTTTTGACTTTAAATAAAGTATTGATCGAACAATTAACAATCAAACGTAACGAAATAAGTGAGATTTTAAGAACTTGCGAAGAGAATTTATTGAAGTTAGATGAATTGATGGAAAACCATGAAAAGAATCAAAAAAAACAAACGAAATGGATTACGTCTATCGTTGGCATGCCTTATTTTAAAGACAAAGATTTCTTTTTCGCTCCCCCTAATCAAGATGCTAAACTTAAAGCAGCACGTGGAGAACTTCAAGTAGCTACTTTCGAAAAAGGTTGCTCATGGACTTGGAAAGATAGGCGAAAAATATCAGATAATGTCTATGATGAAATTGTAATGTCCGTATTAGATCCTACAAATGCAGAGACAGAAGATTCTGAAACAGAGGATACTGACTTATCTGAAAATAAATTTACAAAAATGTTGAAAGCTAAGGACGTCAATGAAATTGTTGGCCCACCAGGAAAGAAACAATTTGACTGGCTTAAAATTGCATTGACCAATTTCGATCAAAGACACAGTGCCGACGAGTGTTCAGTCATGTGGAATATTCTTCTACATCCTGATATTAATAAAAGCAAATGGACACACGCAGAGGAATTGAAATTGAAGACAATTGCTAAACATAATAACTGTGAAGATTGGGACAATATCGCTAAACAACTAAACACTAAACGCAGCGGATATCAATGTTTCGTTAAGTATACTTCCATGGAATATCTTCTGGATCTAACAGAGCAACCATGGACGGAGAAAGAAGATGAAAAATTATGTGAAGTTGTCGCTAAATGCAAAATAGGTAATTTTGTACCTTGGGGAGATGTAGCAAGTTACATGACTTGTAGACTTAAATCAAATGTTTATTTTCGATGGATGTTTAAGTTAGCTCCGCACTTGAAAAAGGGTAGGTTTACTCAAAAGGAATCGGAAATTTTATTGAAAGGTGTTCATAAATATGGCACTAATTTTTCTCTCATTGCTTCACAATTATTACCTTCTAGAAGTACCACACAATTAATGGATCATTATCAAACTTTAAAAGGTATTTCTAAGTTCAATAATAATTGGACACTAATTGCTGATATGAAACTTGTCAATTTATATAAGAAAATGGGTCCTAACTGGGCAAAAATAGCTAAAGAATTTAAATATAAGAATAGAACACAATTGAGACATCGATATAATGCTTTGTATAAGTATGCGAGTAGAGGTATAACGATATATGAAATACCTAGATCTCAAAATGATACTTTGTCAAAAGTAGAAGACAATGAGTTCAACGACGAAGATTATTTCATTGACGATTTTTCAAAAACTGATATTGAAGATAAAATAGATGAATTATTGATAGAGCACTTTCAGAATACAGATAACGAAAATGAATCTTCCATGGATGAAAATGACGATTATGATCCCGATGAACTTTTTCGAGACACCAAAGAATTATATTCCATTTTAGAAACTTTACAAGTAAATATGCAAATTCCAGATAATTTTGATTTTTTTCCATTATCTGAAAAAGATAAAAAATTATTATATTCCTTGAAAGCGTATATAAAGTCTAAGTTTAATAAACTATGCGATAGCGAAGAAATACAAGCTTACATGTTAAAAATGTTCGGTTCACAGAAAATAGTAGAACCTAAAGAACATTTTATACCAATTCCCTTTCAAACTAACTTAAATATTAAAAAGAGTATACAAAAGGGAGGTATAAATTATGCTTTAAATTTAAATGAAAAATTTATTTTGGATGTACCAATGGAATTTGATACACCTGAGTCAATAATTAATCTCATAGGTGGTTCAGAAGAACAACTACGATTTGATAAAATTATTGCTTTATATTGTGTCGAAAATGATAAATTCAAACAGTGGAAGATTAATCGACCTACTAATGTATGTATTAAACCTAATCTTAATAAAAATAATAATCTTCCCTGTAGTTGCAAAGTCAAATCTTCTAATCCGACTGCAAATTATCAATTAGAATTGATGCAACCAAAAAATACTAATAATAAAAGTAATTCTTCAGGATATCAAAGTGATGTAGCGATTGATAAATTTTTCGATGAATTTCATCTTTGGACGTCGTCTAAAAATTCTTACAAAACAGTAGTCGAGAAATTAGATGATGAGTCGGTTGTAGCAATAAAACCAAATTACATAACTTTATTAATTTATAGGAATTTGTTAAAATCGAAGGTTATATCCGATATCGAAAATATACTTAAAATTAACTTGGATAATGAAACTATTGGTAAAGAGTACAAGTCAGAAGATGCATATAAACTATTAAAGAAACGACTTATACAATTATTTAAATATCCGATATTAATGTCTCATTTGTCGTTAAAAGAATTGGAAACTTCACAAGAATCGTCTTCAGAAGTATTTAGCAGTGTTAAATCTAATAAAAGAAAAGAGATGCAACAAAATAGATTGAAAAGAAAAAAACTGAAAGTTAAAAAAACTCATCTAATTAAATTTATTGGCGACAATGAAAGTTCATCATCCTTAAGTACAGAAAAGTCTTGAAACTTTTTAATTCAAAGAAAATTCTTAATTTATTTTTATGCACGAATGTAGAACGTTCCTTATATACTTTTAATACAATAAGTTAAACTCAATATTTTTTCCTTATACTTTTGGTACAACGATAAATTAAATAAGATATATATATACTTTCGTTTTTATAAAGTAATTAAATATATTGATTACTTTTTTATACCAAAAAGTAGATTTTTAAAATTATTGTAAAAAATTCATAAACCAACATATATAATGAAAAAATTATATAAAAATATTTAAAATAATATTAGTGATTAATGTAAATATTAAATTAGATATACATATTGCGAATAAAGTAAACAAAACCCAACATACATTTTATAAACAAAATCCATTAGAAGAAATAATAACACGCTATACTTAAATAATATTTGATATTTATTTCATATAAATCAAAACAAATTTGTGAATTAAATATTATCTAAAAATATATAAATCAATTTTAATTGTGCTTATAACTTTTTTAAGTTAAGCAATTAATAGATTTTCATAAGTCAGGAATATATTGTATGAATCTTTGTGCGTACAAATTAAACGAACGATCTATCAAAAACTACATATATATTAATATTTGTAGTTTCAATTCACATTTTTATGATCGTTATTTTAATCTAATGATAATGTTCCAATATTATCATTTAATAGCTTATTAGAAGTTATGTGATTATTTACTTAAAAATAAAATTATTTTCAATAACATTTAAATTTATAAAAGCATTATTCCCCAGCCTGCTGTATGAACTCCCCACAAGAATAAACTTGCTTCAACGTTAGAAACTAAACGTCTAATCGTATCTAATGTTGATGCAACTATTTGATTGGTAACTTTTAATGTTGGTTTTTCTTGAATTAATTTGATCTTTAATAAATATTCAATTAAAGGTAAATCATCCCTTTTATACATTGGCATGTATGTCTCTACTTTTTCTCTAGTCCACCAAGCTTGCGTATTACTTTGTCTGTAGTTAAAAAATAAAACATTTATTATTAATTGTTTTTGATTATATATAATTTATACATTGTAAAAAAAACTTACGTATTATTCCATGGTACGTAATGATAATGATAAAGACTGGCTCTTATGTACTTAGGCGGTTTAGCGTTAAATGGATTTTCCACTGTATTTATTAAAGCCAATGTTTCAGGTTGTCCATTTAATAAACGATATGTTAACGGCTTTAACCAAGAATTTTGTTCGTATCTACTTGAAGCAGCTAAACACATTTGCCAGTCAAGACGAGGTTGATGAGGCGCTATAAATGGAATATAAAAATCAAACGAAATAGTTATTTTTTTAATTTGAATTATACTAAATCTAATTCAGTAAATAAAAGTTTCTAAGATATTTAAATAATTCATACTTATATTTTATATTATCAAATGACTCACCAACGAATGGTAATAAATTATTAACATTTCCTGGTTTGTACAGAAATTCATATTCTTTCCAAGGCCCATTGCTATTGTTACTGCCTTCGATAATTACTTCTGGTCTTCCACTGATATCTTTCATAGGTCTGTACGATCCATAACTGTTAACAAGGTGGAGATGTTCGACATATCTGTAAAGCTTCTGAATCTGAGATGGTATTGTTGGGTTGTAAGATTGATTCAACGTAACATACGGTACCTAAATAATAATAGATATTCTTACATTAATTTTATGATCATTCAATACAATAATAGATAGATCAAAATATTTGTATATTTACTTACAATACTAAGAGTAAAAATTAAGCATATAATAGCAGTGTACAAAATTGTTACAAAATTAACAATTGCTTTACTTTGTGTTCCTTTGTTGCTAATTACTAGATCTTTCATCGTTGTTATTATTATATAACCGAGCGATGTAATACCCATATAAATGGAAATTGGAATTATATATGACACAGCATTATTAAACTGTTTTTGAGTAAATGCTGAAACAGATATAAAAAATAATTAATATTAATATACATAATTTTCTGAAGTACTTAACTACGTCAGTTACCAATGATCTATTTTCCTATGTTCTTCTACAGTTGACAGATTATTACGATCGGAAAGTATATTGTTAGTTTCCGGTAACTGATGTAGTGCTTAATGTGTTAAAATATTTAACATTCTATTTATATATAAAAATATTTACCAATATCAGTTTGAATAGTCCAGTTATTCGTGATACGTATGTTATAATATTTATACATTCCATATAATATACCTGCATATACTATGAAGCACAATAGTACAGAGTTTTTATTAATGTTATGGACATTTTTTTGTTTTTTACTATAAAATATACGATCATCCAGTAAAGAGATGCATAAACATATTATCAAAAAGTTGTAAAAGTTATAATTTCCTGTTGCAATAATGAAAATTTGCAGAATGATCTACAATTGTAATAACATTTATTTAAATTGTTTGATATATATCTTACTATGAAAAATAAAATTCATGTATTTACCTGAAGATAGAAAGCTGTTATTCTTACTAATCTATTTGGAAAGAAGAATAAAAATGGAATAGCTATTTCAATAACGTTTGTTAGGACAGTTGTAAAGCGAAGAATCCAAACTGGTAAATGATGTGCATACCATGCTAAAGCAGTAGGTATACATTGAGATTCAAAATATACATTTAAAGCTGTAAAAAATATAACTTATATTATTTTTCCAAATTTTATTTTATAACCCTTTGATTGCAGAATGCTCAGGAACATTAAAGCCTATAGGCACTATTTGCAGTCAAAGTGTTCAACTTAATAGAAATATTACCATTTAATTTCCACCAAGTTGGACACTGAGAAATTAATTTTCCTGCACCGGTGGAAAATATCAATCGAAAGAGTAACCAACGAACGCTCCAAAACGTAACATTGTCACTTGGAGTACTTCTGTTATGAGAATATAAAGGTTGTGCTATGAAAATACATAGAAATCCTGTTTCCAAGAGAAGAAAATCCCTGTAAAAAAGATACATTAATCATAAAAATTATTATTAAAATTACAGATTTATATAGAAAAAAAATTCTATCAAAATCTACCATGGAAACTTCATAAATACTTGACCGATCTGTTGTAAGGAATAATATAATGACCAAAGTGCTATAAATACAGGTGAAATGCAGAACCTTTGTGAAACAAATCTATAAGATGAAAAGAAACAAATGTTAAGTAATTTTAACATATCATACCAATAATAAAAATCATGTAAAATTAGAATAAACTATTCAGACTTACCCTAGAAAAGCAAACGCTACTCCAAGAAGCGATAATAAATTAATCATATATTCTATATTTAATCCTAAATATGGTGCGAACCATAACAAAGTTGGCTTTTGCGAAAACTTTTTTTCCAATGCTGCATGATTTTCAAAATCCAATTGCGCTCTAGCAGGTAAGATCCCATTATCGCCATACAGTCCTAAGTTAAATTAAATTACAATCAAATTTTATTTTTATAATTTATATTATTGATACAGTATAGTACATACCAGGAATTTGAACGTAAAAACTCAAAAAGGCGTTTAAATAAATAATACAAATTCCTCTAAGGAATACATTTCTTGTATACCGTACTGGAAGCATGTTTTTCTCTTTATAAAATATAAATAGAAATTACATATGTTATTATAGTAATATTCACATTTAGTGTATACGTAATAGATATATTTAGTTTACTTGAATTAATCTCAATTTTATATCTTCAAAATATATGATTTATTACATAATATCACTTTGTGATAACATTTTAAACTGTAAGAATATGTTTGATATTGCTATTTATTTTTTTTGAATTGATAAATAAGGAATCAAAAATAAGATCTGTTCTAGTTTTTATTTTTATCTAATATATTTTTTCTTATTATGGTAACATTGTTTTTGTTCAATTTCTAAGATTAGCCTCAGGACGTTTCCAAGTGTATCTCAATATTTGCTTTTGTATAAAAATAAATTAATAAATCAAAGTAATTGTTTATATCTTAATTTTATAATAACTTTATTTAAAATGTTATATTTATTTTATTATTTTGATTTCAAATTCGTTAAAAAGGAGAAAACTCAGCTGTAGTTAATAGTGGATTCACCCTAAAGTGCTTCTGCCAGCGTGTTCGATGACGCGAATTTGATATAATCTTGCTGACATTTCTATTATTTGTTGGTTATGTATATACTAGTTGTTTTTTTATTAATATTTGTTACCATTAATTCAAATTTGATTTATTAATAAGAAAGATATTAAATTACTAGTAGAAATAATGATGGTTAATCTTCTAAATTAATCTAATTATAATAATAAAATAGTGATTGAATTTATATAAATGTAAGTAAAGACATTAGATACATATTGTATATAATAATTGTTGACTGTTATTCTATGTTTATAAGCAATTGTTTTTTTACAGTTCTATTACTTTAATGTTGCATACTTTATCAACAACATTTGTATAATAAAAATCCAAGAAACAATTAAGATAGTTTTACAATTGAATACATTTTTTACAAAGCTTCAAAATAGCGAATAAAATGCGAAGATCCCATTCGGGTGAGTTAAAATTAAATACAAATATGTTTAAGTATTATTTTGTTCTAATGCGATTATTTTTTAGGAGGTTACAACTATGAGCCTGTACCAACAACGTCTAGTCAAAATGTTTTCGAAGATGAAAATGAAAAGATGACAGAGGAATTGAGTACTAAAATTCATGCACTCAAATCCTTGTCCATCGATATTGGAACAGAAGTTAAATATCAAGATAAAGTTTTACGTGGAATGGTTTGTAATTCATGTATATTTTTAATTTGAAAATAATGATTTATAGATTTTGACTTTCTTTATTTTATTATTACACATTGTTTTGTTAAATATACCAGTAAAATTGGAATTGTTTTAGGATGACGATTTTGAAAGAACCAGTGGATCATTGAGCGCATCTGTTGGGCGTGTTTTACGATTAGCCAAAGCTGGTCACAATTATTATATTCTATATTTATTTCTTTTCTCTATAGCAGTATTTTTTGTATTATGGATAGTCTTAAAATTTAAATGATCAAGTTTCAAACAAAGTTTATATTATTAAAAATAATACACTTATTATTAAATTTTTGGTAATTTGATAGCGGTTTAGGAAATTAAAATATATATCTATTGATAATTATTTTTATCAGTTTAACTAGATATTTTTAAAGAATATTTTATATATACAAATTTTACATAATATTGCGCATAAAATAATATCTACTATGCAAAAATTAAATTGATTTTACAAGTTGTTATTATTATTCGAAGCTCTTGAAAGTCAACCAATCAAACGCAGTATCAAATTGATTCAACCAATCAAATATTAGGAAACTTATTTCTGTAAGATACTTTCCGAAAAATAAGGTATAATTGCAGCAAGAAATCTTTTTTTAAGAAATACTGTTTTTTCAAGAATAATTTATGCGTTTTAATAAAGTTTTTTTAGATAAAACTTTTTAAATAATTTTAAGTATTATGATTTTTATGCAAGTGTACTCAGGTTTCTGAACGTTATATAGTAGGTTATGTTAGGTTACGTACTTTATACTTATGTGGTGTTTGAAATTTGCATCTGCGTAGCACGTGTTTTGTGTTAAGAGTATTGAATTATTTATTTTATTTACGAATCGAATTAAAAAATCCAAAATGAAAATTAAAAATTTGAAGAAGAATCCTTTGAGTCACTCTAAAAAGGAAAAAGTAAAAAAAAAAGAAGAGGAAAATTCAGAAGAAGAAAATAAACCAAATACGTCAATGAGCCAATCTGTTGAGGTTATGTTACCAACTGAAACTAATTTCAATCACATTAAATGCAAAGCTGTTAGATATGAAAAATGTAAACAATTATTAAAACAAAAAGCAAAGGCTAAGAAAGAAGCCAAGAAACTTAGAATACAAGAAGGTACACCGAAGCAGGTACCGCATACAATTGAAAGTTTAAGAGAAAAGGACGAAACTACAATAGTTGGTGATTTGGATGACGAAGAGAACGAGGAAATTAAACTTGATCTGGAGCATGATGAATTTTCTTCATATTATAAGAAAGAATATGAACCTAAAGTTTTAATCACATATTCTGATAATCCATCAAGGAAGACTAGAATTTTTGGCCGAGAACTTACACGAATGGTACCAAATTCTATCTCCTTGTATAGAAATCGTTCTGGTGTTAAGAAGATAGTTAAAAGCTCCATTGCTAGGAATTTTACAGATATAATCATAGTCAATGAAGACCGCTGTGTACCAAGTATTATTTTATTTCATTATACTAATATTAACATGTTCGTTATCAATGTCACATATCTGTGATGCATCGATTTGCATTGTGAGTGCAGTGTCACTCATTTGTAATCACAGTAATCAATGCGAAGACTAAGTTTTGAGCTATAGTTTGAATCTTTTTTCTATCAAATGATAACAAACATGCTAACAAATAGATTTTTACATGGATTACTAATTATTGATATTTTAAAATAATTTTGTAGATGGAATGTTAGTAATTCATTTGCCCGATGGTCCAACAGCGTATTTTAAGTTAAGCAACGTTAAAATTACACCTGAGTTACGTCGTAGTCATAAAGAAATTACCGATCACAGGCCAGAAGTTATTTTAACTAACTTCACTACTCGTTTGGGATACACAATAGGAAGAATGTTAGGTGCATTGTTCCATTATCAACCCGAATTTAAGGGTAGAAGAGTTGTAACTTTCCATAATCAAAGAGATTACATATTTTTTAGACATCATAGGTAATTCATCGATACATGAAGATAAACTAGAGAAAAATTCAAATATGTATATTGTATGTTTAAAATTTTTTTTAATATTTCTTTTGATAGGTACGAATTTAATTTGAAGACGGGCAAACCAAGATTACGAGAATTAGGTCCACGATTTACTTTAAGATTAAAGTCGTTACAACATGGTACATTTGATAGTAAGTATGGAGACTATGAATGGCTTATCCAAGGACGTCGTCATGAAATGGAAACCAGCAGAAGAAAATTCTTCTTATAAATTTATTGATAGAAAATATTTTCATTTATACAATTTAACAGTAATATCACAAAATAAAGACAATTATTTTCTAATTATGCGTATAAAAAACGAAAAACATAGAATTCGATAAATTTGCAAGTCAAAATGTAATACTGTTTAAAAAATTTATCAATTTTATTTTTAATTATTTTGTTGTTATTTATATATCATTAGAATTATTTATATTCTATACATGTTCGTTTTAATACGTATACAACAGCAGCCAGTCCTCCAATGTTAACACCTAACATTTTTGTTACTTTGAATAAGTCAGAAGCTGCTTGTAATGACTATAAAATATAAGAGACGTTTAATTAATATAATAATTAATTGGAAATATTATTTTTATGTATTTAAGACTTACTAGATTAAAACTACGTTTATCATAGGTTAGCAATACTAATCGACCAGTATTACGTCTCACAACTCGTCCTAATTGTAGTAAGAATTCTTTATAAAGTACTCTGTTATCCATCATATTGCCACTACGTTTCCCAAAAGGCTACACAATTATGTTTATGAGTTTCATTACTTATAATGATGTAAAAAAAATAAAATATTTATAAATACCATATCGGTGACAACAATATCGATAGAATTGTTTAAGAGTGGTAAATAACAAACATCCCATTGTGTTAAATCAACTTTAGATTTAGAACAGGAGTTTTCTATATTTGATTTAGATCTCAGCACAGCCTTTGAATGATTATCTCCGCATAATATGTATGAACTTTCATAGACTAATCCTCCCTGAAAAATAGAAAATTCATTTTATAATTAGTATAATAATTAATGCATATAGTATTTAATCTGTTTAGTACAACTATGTCATTTGCAAGTACACTTTCACTGTACGACCACTGTATGGGCCAGTTACAACATGAATATATATTTTATCACGAAGTAGATGAAAAATGAGATACAATGTAGTACATTTCAAGATGTTCGGATTTAAAAAATTTTAAACCAAAGTAAAATATCAATAAGTTATTATTGTAACTGATAAGAGATAGCGATTGTACGATATTGAGTGCCTATGGTAATATCGAAAATGTAATTTAAAAGTCTAACATACTTCGATAGGAATAGAAGCACTTCCACACATAGGATCAATTATGATATCTCCTGGATTGGGTTGCGCCAATCTTAATAAGTTATAACATATGGTAGCTCGGAGCGTAGTTGGTCCAAAATGTATGATATTTCTATGATGCTTGGATTCGTGTGTAATACGTAGTTGTGTTACTATCTCATCTAATGATTACACAAAAAAAAAGATAATTTACTATCTGAGCGTATCAATGAGAGATTTTTCTCTCTAAAAAAGTTTTAGTGATTTAAACTAATGTTTACTTTGAACTATTTTACAGATTATCTCCAAATGATACAAAGATAAATCGACTAGCCAATGATATTTATCTTGTAATTCTCCTCCTATGATTTTAGCAGCGTCAGGAGATTCGAAACTATGTTTACCAGTTCTTTCACAAGTTACTCTATATCTTAAAACTTCGTTATACGCGTTAGCTGGATTTTGTCCTCTTTTTCTAATTTTAGAATTGTTAGATTTTACACATTCAACATTTTTTTCATTCCTCGTAGCCTCTTCGTATTCGTTAATAGTTGGATACATTTTTCCTGGAAATTGTGTAACGTTCTTCCATACATTCAAAGCTTTCTCTAACTTTAGATCATTTCGTGTAGCATCTTTACATAATTTCAAATCATTTTCCTTATTAGTTCCATTGAACTTTAATCTGAGTACGCTTCCAACTATAAATATATTGTCAATTGATCTCATTTCTTGTACCTAGAACGTAGATTCAAAATTAATGCTTAAGTAGCAGCAATTTAAAAAAAATTGATAAATTAAAATAGATAACGTGCAGTAATTTCTAAATTACTTTGATTAACTTGTCCCAATTGACGTTGAAATAAATCTTTCCACGTTGTTTAACAACATGTAGATTTTTATCTAATTTCTCTTTACATTCATCTACTGCTTGCCATTCAAAACCTATGCATTAAAAATGTGTTTATAAGTATTGTTTTATCAATATTTAAATTTTATAGGTTATGGTTATTAACCCACGTGGTTAGAAATCTTACCTGTATCAACGCTTGTCCCAATCATAAAAAGATTATCATTAGTTAAAGATACTTGAAAAAGATCATATAAACTTGAATCTTCATCGCAATCCATCATTTTGTAATTATATTAATTATATGTAAACAAGTATATATGTATCGATTGTATCCACTATCGATGCGTCACGTTCTTCATACGATACGTAACGCATATCATATGATCAGAATATAGGAACGCGGCGGGAATCGTGACGTTTGAAATAGAACGAAATAAATAGAATGAGAAAAATGCTAAACATCGAATAGCCGATATCACGACGTTTCGTTTAAGCGTATTAAAGTGACATAGTATAGAAACGTTCAAAATAATCTTTTGATTCTTCAGCGATATATTTTAAAGTTTAACGATCACGTCTGATAAATACCATCCACTTTGCATCTGCACTATTTCTGCATGCTGTCAATTAAAGTTCGCATAGTGAACGACACGGGCTTTTCCAATGTTTTTAATTAATTTTGTGAATAATGAATCAGTACGTAGATGGTTATAAACGTTAAATGTGCGAGGTCAACGACGTATCCTACGTTTGATCGTTTTATTAGCGGATATCAATGAAATATATAAAAATATTTGTAAATCTACATACGTAGGATACGAATAAGATGTTTAATAAACGAAAATAGAATTGGATATTAATATTTCGAAGTCGATGACGTGATCGTGCGCAGGCGAGTAGATGAGTGGATGATTGGGGGGTTATATGGGATGCGATCACTAATGTCGTTGTTTTAAATAAAAGATTTATCGGTCAGTTTCGACACGTAACGTACACTTCAAGAACGTGACCCCCGTTCGACAACCCCTTTTCACGGTCCATGAATATTTAATGAAAGGACAATGGATGTCCACGGTTGGTGTCAGTTTCATCTGTTGTGTGTACATTATCTTATTAATTTGACTACTCCAAACATCCGACACTGTCATCTATTCCTGTCGTCATTTTAATTCTACTTTTGCAATCATAGATTCCATACAAAATAATCAAAGTTAAGTTAAATTAAATACGAATAAAGTTAAAAATATTTTAAGAACCACAAATGTGGTCAATTCGATTGGAATAAATTAACAAAAGGTATCTTTTTTTATGTTCCTATATATATATATTTTATTAACATCAAAAACGTATTAGAAGGATCGACGAGTACAGATTGATAAGAAAAAGAAGATGGAAAAAAAATATGCACGTAAATAAATACTTCATTTGACGATATTCATAGTACAATCGATTGATATCTCAGATTAGGAGCGATCATTACGAATGGTAAAGGTGAGAGACAGGATAGGGTAAAAGGAAGGGAAAGGGGGTTGGGATGAAGAGAATTCGTGGAAGCGTCTGCATCTTTCTCGGGTCATTTCGGGTCGAAAGTTCGTCGGGGCACCGTCTCTATACATAGAATCATTCCTACTATCCTCCTCTTTTCCTCCAGCCCCTTCTCACCCCTCTCATATTGCTCGTCCTATCTTCTTACTCACATTTGTTTGATCCTTTTCGTTCTCTTTCTCCCACTCTCTCTTTCTCTCTTTTTAGTTATCTACCTATCTATCCATCTATCTCTCTTCTTCCTTTCTCCGTTTCACCGACGACTGACAGGCGAAGCTAGAAACCTAAAATATTCATCAGCAGGAGCTGAACGGGCGCGACCAAACGTCAATCTGTCAACCTGCTTCCATCTCCGCGTCACCATATTCTCTCCTCCCCTTCATTCTGTCAGTCTCTCTCTCTCTCTCTCTCTCTCTTTTTCACCCCTCGGATCCACACAATTTACCTATGCAGGTGTAGAATGGGCATCGGCTAACTAGACGGCAAAATTAAGGGAAAACTTTGAAACGCTTTTAAAATTTAAATAATGCACTGTTGCGCGCCCGACAATACCTTCCTATATCTTTCCTCCCCTTCACTCCCTCCCCCCACTGTTCTACAACCCACACGTTTTTTTTATTTCTCTCTCTCTCTCTCTCTCTCTCTCTCTGTCTCTCTCTCTCTCTCTCTCTGTGTTTTCTCATCCACCTTTTACGTCGTGTTTCAACTACACGTTGATCTTTCGCGAACCGGAATAGGTTCGTTCCTCAGTGGGTTCTCGAAAGCAACCCATTCCTCGTCTGCCAACCCTTGTTGTCTCGAGTTTTGGCAGTTCTCGAAAAATATCTGTCGAGAAGCGGCTACATTGACGTTACGCATTCCGATATTAATGGTCTAACCGATGGAAGAAGAAACTTTTCGATATGACGTACTACAGACCAGTTGTTTCTCTAGTATGTTTAAGAAAGATCAATGAAGATAGACAAATACCAAAAAGGTTAATCGAGTTTGAATAAGAATTATTACTTCCTATCAGAAAACTATCGTAGAGGGATTGATAATGATTTGTAGTTTTATTGAAAATCTTTAGTCGTTTTAAAAATATGGTCTCGATGAGGAATAGGAAAGGCAATTAAAGATAAAAGGCTACTCGGTTTTTAAATAGTTTAGAAGAATTGTTGTATCGGATTTCGATATCTTTTTCTAGGATTTTATCCAAACGTTTGAAGATTCGACCGTTCATTTATTCCTTTTTCTATTCTTTTATATACATATATATATTAGATCTAATAAAATAATTTGTAGATTAACAATTTAAATAATCTTATTGTAAAATAGAATTGAACTTTAACGTGGAAGATTTTTAATTTAAGGTTTAAAAATGATGTCGCGTTGCTAAAAGGATTTTTCTATATGGTTTTGTGTGTGTATCATTTTGAAATTTATTTAACAATGAGATTAGGAACATACGATAATATTGCAGAATAAAATTCTCAATTAAAATTTGTAAAAGAATTAAGAAGAAATAAAAGTTTACTCGAGATAGCTCGTGTTGGAGTAAATTCGATATATGACACCTGTTGAAGCGCAACATGTACGATTTCACTTCGAGTACAATACAAAAAGAATATTTCAAATAAGCATTGGATTGGCTCAGGTTGTTAAATTCGCTGTTGTTACTGGAATGTCATCCTTGATTCACATGAAATAGAACTTTTCTGCGTTTGTTCCTGACTTTGAAGGTAGATAATTATTTCTTTAATAATAAATAAATGGTTTTTAGGTATCTCTATGAGTGAATATTGATCTCGATTCGATTAGATTGAAATCTATCGACTGCTTAACATTCTAAGTGTTACTAGTATACTCGATTTTTGTTAAATAAATTTTAGTATAAACTCAAGTACAAAACTGAAAATTTCTACAATAGGAAATCAATGAAAATGTTGAATCTTATGATCCAAATTTTGATTTATACAAATATTTGTAGTTATTGATACTAATCATCAACTACAGGTTCGGGAAAATTAATATAACAGCATATTTTTCAATGTAAAAGATTTATTTGTTTTTAAACAATGTTTGTGATTTATATTAGGTTGAGTATAAAGTTCATTCACGTTTTTTATTGAAAAAATAATATTTCTATTACCAAATAGATGGGAAAGGGTTATATACCAAAATACATAAATTGATTAAGTAAATACGATAATAAAATAATTAAACTTTCTGTACTTTTGAAGAAATTTACGGACTTCTTACTTAATTTGATATAAAAGATACGTCAAATTACATTTATTACAAATTTTATAAAATATATTTGAAGATAGTAGTAGAGTAATTTGAGATAAAAGTCGGTGAATATATTGCACATAATTGTATTGTTCAAGACTTAATAGGATGATTATATAATTAGCTTTGCGAACATAATCGATACTCGTCCACAGTATAAACACGTTTCAATGAAAATAATGCAAGTAAAAAAATTCACATAAACAACACACGTCTTATGATTAAATTAAATTAATTTTCCATAGATTAATCGAAAGATGTTTTTGTAATAAACCAACAGAACATATTTTTTGTTGAATTCAAAACAGAAAAACGATGACAATATTTTTCTTATAGGTTTAATGATGATAATTTTGTTTGCTTGCGGTAATAAACGAGAGTTAGTTGAATTGTTGATTAGATAAAGATGAATCTTTGCTCTTCCGTGATTATGATTATTGCCCGAAAGCCATTATTGTTGTCAAGGCTTTCTGAGCAACAATCAAAAGCATAAAGAGCATGTTCCTAGGCGAAGAATAATTTTCAAGACGATCCCAGACACTTGTAATAGAAAAATAATTATTAATTATTATATATATGAAAGATGATCACACAATTAAATTGAATTTTCATACCTTCGGTTTATTGTTGGCAAAGTTTCGATTGTTAAGGCGGGAAAAACAGAATTTCGTAATCGAATGATCACCCTTTTTGATTGCAATCTTATTAAAGACCATCCTTATCAGATTGAAAGCATATTTAATGAAAACTTCCAATGTACATGCCGATTGTTTACTTTTCAATCATTTCCAATAACCAAAATACATACCTCGGATGGAAGAAAATCACCACTTTGATTTAACTGATACACTGATGTATTTCAATCTAGAAGAATAATATTTAAAATTAATATAAAAAGACGATTACTGTTGAAAATAAAAAAAATATTTCCAATTGGAAAGGTTAACTGTTAAATATAAATAAGTGCAGAGATTGAATTCGTGGCAGAAGATACGAAATGTCTAATATAAACAACTATTAAAAGTAGAAAAATAAAATGTACGTACGTTGTTCACACATCAAGAGACAAATCTAAAATGAAAACGTCAAAGTGTATTCAAGACGAACTAAAACAATTCCATATCACGAACCTTTGCCTTCCAACAATTTAAATGATAAATAAACTTAACCGAAAATCACTGATGACCAAGAAGAAGAAGAAGAAGAAGAAGTTAGAATTAGTGGAAGGTGTCGTAGAAGAAATGAAGAGAAGGAAAGAGAAAGAAGATAGGATGTGATAAACCGAAAGATGACTACCCCGAAGATATTCACTGTTAAGTGTTGTTGAGAGAAAACAACAGAGTCTCTGAATGCAAACAGGAATCAGGATCGGAAGCCAAGGGCTACAACCATCGGTTGCGGAGTCCGAAACTCGAATGACGTAACTTGGAAGGTCCACGGAAGGATTGCAGGTGGAATTCGAGTAGGGGTTGTTTCGCGATAGATGAGGGTTGCGATTCTGCGCAATGCGTTGGCGTCCTGCGTCGTAGCGACGACGACGCTTAGGCCATCAGAGCGCAAGTTGGTTTTCGTCCTTTCCATGTAGACACCATCGTGATGGTGGTGTCGGTGCTGTTACTGTTGCTGGTGGTAGTGGAGGTGGTGGTGGTAGTGGATTCTCGTAATGGAAGAGGTTAAGGGGAAATTGGAAAGTGGGGGAAAAACGATATGGCGCGTCCATTAGATATTCTCGATCTTTGTAATTTGACAATGATCCGACAGGGAAGCAACGTCGGATCTTCCTCCTCTTCCTCCTGTAAATTCACTCACCCTTCTAATTCACCCTCTCTACCTTTTTGTCCTTCCTCGATGCACCTGGGGGGTCATTGCACCTTCATCCGTTGATTTATTTTATTAATTAGTCGACATCACTCCTCTGCACCGTAAGATAGATCCTTCCTGGAAGAAGATTGATTCAATTAGCCAAAT